CTATAATTTGATCCATGTCTGTAACATCTAAGATCTACTTCACGATTCTATTATTCGGAGAACAATTTATAACTAAAATTGCTAAGTATTCGAAACAATAATTGAAGAAATAAGCAATATTCAAATTTCGATACAAAAATGTTAAGAATTTATATTAGAGTAAGTTTTCTTTTTTTATATTTTAATTTTATTTGAAGTTGTATTGTTTAAAAAAATAACGAGGTTTTTCGAAGAGTAGTGAAATACAACAACAAAAATTTTATTTTTTATATTATTTTAATTAATTGAATTTTTGGCTGACTATTTTTGGCTGTTTCGAGTATTGCCAAATACCCATCATCAGTGGTGTTGGAAATAATTCTTGTATTTAATTATTCGTAAATAATTATTTTTGAGACTGCAAGTACCAGGAATCCAACTCGGGTCCTGCCAAATGTGAACCTCAGAATCAGCGCACCTTAATCAACTGATTCAAAGCCGTACTTGACTTTTTTATTCGCATATTTTTCTGGAGTTTTGTTATTTTTGTTATGAAAGTTTTTATTAACAATTTTACTTGCTGTATTTATATTAGAACGAAATCATAAACCAGCTGTAAAATAATTGAATTAATTAATTAAAAAAATAACTTAATTTAATAAAAAAATTTGAATTTTTATGTAAAAATCAAAATTATAAAAGAAAATTGGAGCACAAAACAAGCTCAGAAATCTAGAATAGCAAAGGAATCTTAATTCTTAAAAAGTTACAAAACAAAAATCTACAGGATAAGAAGAGATAAAAAAGAAAACCGATATCAGAATCGAATTCTGACAGCAGCAGTTGTTGGAATTTTGTGCGATACAAAATTCAGAAAACAAGTATATCTGAAGTTCCAAGTCCTTGCCCATATCTTGTAAAAAGTACAGAAAAAGTAGTAGAAACGGTCATTCTAAGTGTTCTTGAATTTAAATATGTTACTTATTTAAAATTCAACAATAACCGATAAAACAATAAAGTCGATAAAACCCGTACTAAAACAGAAAGAATAAAATGAACCGATTCCTACTATTATATTTACCAATAAATAAAACACTGTATTGCTATTGTTTACTATTTGCTTAGTGTTTATAAAGTCAAATTCGGATATATATTCAACCTTTATAGGAACATATGGTTTTAATAAATGAAGGAATAAAGATAAAATAATTAGCCATGCAAGAAGTCCAAATCATTGAAAATCGTTTACGACTCGGAAAGAAACAGGATGAAAATTAATTAAGGACACTAGAATCGATGCCTCATTTGAATCCACTATAGAATCTGTAAAAGAAGGTGGCGAAATCTATTGCAAAAAATATTACAAAATCTTGCTTTATGTGGTCATAAAATTTAGCGATTCAAAATGGTGCAAATATCGGACACTTATTATTAGTACTTAAACTTATAGCTTAATTTGATCCATTGTTAGAGAATCATCTAAAAAATGTCGTGGAAAGACCAAAATCTGTCTCACACTTATCACCAAAACATTAAATGAATTTATTAATCTTTTGGCATCCATAGTTCTTAATCAACTAATTAATGATATTAATGATAAAAGAAATAAATACTACGGACTTTTATTTGATTCGAGTCCTGATACTGGTCATCGAAAACAAATATCACAAGTGTTTAGGTATGTATGTTATATATTGATTTTACTTTAAAGGAGTCGCACTTTAAATACTTCTTACTATTGCAGTATCAATTGCTAGCTGCAAACGTTCGTTCGAAAATTGAAATTAATTTTAATATATGTACGCTCAACGATGGGAGAAGATCGTCTAAATAGCGTTTTTAAGTGCGAAACTACTTATAAATTCTATATATTAATATTGATACTTTTTTTGTAGGGCACCAAAAGTGATTGCCGCCCCAGGTAGTGGCTCGCTACGCTACTGCGATATCCTGTAACACGTGACGGGCTTAATATTTGGATAATCAATTTACACTAAGATAATGCTATTATTTAATTTACTAGAAATTGATGGTGTAGATGGGCTTCCTAATTTATTCTTAAACTCTGATATTCCAGCAAGGTTAAGATCAGACATATCTATTATTTCATTAAGCATATCATTTATTTCTATCACATAAATAAAATAAAGCAAAATATAAAATAAAACATAACGTAACACAACCACAATCAATAAATAATATTAAACATTTATTTAATGTTAATTTTCTCCCTTTTGAAATGTAAGATATAGGAGATAGGGATACGGACCATGCCAGACAAATAACTCAAAAAATGTATGCTGTCCATCATAATTTTTCGAAATTACGCTCTTCGCAGTATCGGAGGACAGACTTTTTCTGTTTCAAAAATTGTTGTTTTTGCATATAATTATGTGTAACATTTTTTTAAAGAATAATTGTTTTTTTTTCTGTTTGAACTTTATTGGTTAAAATATATAAAAAAACAGAAATCAATTGCAGTAAAAATTAAATTAGTTATGCGAAATTTAAGGAAAATTTTGTGGGTGGACGCAGATCTTTTCTATGTGTATATGCCCCTGTTACCTGTTAGACTTTAAAAATACAAAAAATACCTCAAAATACATATAATATACTGTCTAGGAATGCCAAAGAAAATAAAGTATTCAATATAAATATAATTCTGTCAACCTACAACAGTCCATTTACAATATCTATAGTATATTGTCCCTCAAATTGCAATATTAAGTGGCATGATTTCAATCCTTTGTTTCAATATTTAGGATCCAGATTTGTAGCTTGTGAAGACTATATTTCGAATTATATATCGCTATATTTTGATATTAGTTAGTTTTTTTTTGGATAAGTATTTTATCTGCTATTCTATCTAATGAATATTATTCACTAGGGTTAACACATAAACATTCGTTTGTATCTCGTGTTATAAAATATATACATAACTATAACATTAGTTATAACACTAGTTATAACACTAGTTATAACACTAGTCTTAACAAAATCACTCTTATCTAACCTCTTAAAATTGTTTATTGTGGCCAAATATTTTTCTAAATCCTTGATTATGAATTTGGTTTTATAATTTATCTGCTTTAGATTTCACCCATAATATTTTTAGAATTTTGTGCTTTTTCTTTTACGATATTTTTTAATATCGCTTGCTATAGCTTTTCTAACCTTACTGTTGTGATTATTAATTTTTGGATTATCTTATTCTATCTTAATTCGATGAAAAATAAAATAATCATGGATTAAAGCAGTTTTCGCTTAAATGCAAAAATTTAAGCATTAAATTTTAATGCAAGAAAAAGTTACTTAAATGAAAATATATCAAAATGCTATATTTCTTATGAAATGAATTACTGGGCTATTGTCTCACAGTAATGAGAGCGTTATAGGCTCACCACAATAACAATAACATTATTTAGTATTATATTTAGAACTCTAGAACAAGAGTTGTTACGCTGCCTACTGTTAACTAAAGTTGTTACTAGTTGATAATAAGATAATAAGTAATGAATATTTAACGAAGATTTTGCAGTACTTCAATAGGCGTATTCAGACGTGCTCGGTAATCCGGTAAAGTGATAAAAATTGTATGTGTATTTGTTTTTGTGGGCTTAAAACGTTACCGAGTTAAATTATTACCTATCATCATTATATAATGTTTTTAGTATTTAGTATCAGTATAGTAAAACACCATGAAAAAAACAACAAACAAATAATAATTTTTTAGTAAATTATTTTCAAATTTCTTTTTTTGATTTTTTTAATTTTTTCTTATTTTTTTGGCAATTTCCTACTCTTATGCATAACAAAAAAAACTAGCTGCTTTGACAGTTCAATTTTACGAACAGACGAGATACAATTAAACAGCGGCGTTCAGATGTGTGTCTGAAGTACCGAATACTGACTTACTGATCAACTACTATTACTGACCATACTATCTATAATGATGATTTGGGTATGCAAAATTGTTGAAAAATGAAATAAATAAATATTTGTAAAATAATTTTAACAATGTCTCAAGTTATTGTACCTACAAATTCTCACTCTCACAATTGATTCATTTTGAATTTTTTATCCACGGTACCTCTATTTTATTGTATTGCATATGTTTGTAGAAAAATCGATGTAACTAATTCCAAAAAAAATTTCGAATACTGAAAATAAACAGTTGACTTGATCAACATTTTTTCACCGATATACTTATATGCTTACATATTTTTTTGCATTCCAGGTATAACTCCACTGAACCAATGCACAAAACAGATTAGATTTTGTAAAAAAATACTTAACAACGAATAATTAATGCAGAATGCATTGGTAATGTTTTGTTTGCTTGTTAACAATCAATAAATAATGTTTTATATCCGAATTTAGAAACTAAAACCTAGCCACGAAAGGTATTATAGCATTCATTTCAACAAATTTAGTAGCCATATTCCATATAATATTCGTAAAAATATTTAATCGAATGTTACTAAATGAGGAACAGTCCAACATTATTCCTGAATATCAGTTTAGATTTACAAACAAACATGGTATACCTAAACACTCCCATCGATTCGTAAATATAATACCTTAAGCTGCAAGTGTCTTCTTGACATATTTGCTGATGTTATAACATAACTGTCATTTCATCAACTAAATCCCCTACTTTAGCTTCTACAATAATTCAGAAAGAAAATAACACCAATTGAAATGCAGGCTTGCAATTCTCTTTATGTTCTTTATAAATTCTGTAATATGATTTTCAAATCGGTTAAAATTGCTATTTTATATATGTATATATCTCAGTGCTTCAGTGTATAACCATTACATTAAAGGGAAATTTCACAAAAAGTGATACAGTGAAGCGAAATTTTAAGCTGTACATCATATATTGTTAAATGATTTTTATTTGAAGATATTTAGATATAATTATCAGCGTTATATTGATTACATATTTCTATTACTTAAATATTTCATTGTTTGTATTATTTAATAATATAATATTTAATTTAATATTTCATTGATTTTAGGAGATTGAATCTGTTGACAGCTCTCCGATGTCCACTACTGATGTAAAGACTTTTACAGGAAAAATCGTTTACAATCTTGAAGGGAATGCATTTATCATTGACGCAGACAATGCCACACTATCTAAATTCACGGATTTACAAACAGCTAGTGGTAAGTTGAATGCATTTACAATAATTTTAATATGATATATTTGGAAAACTAAAAAAAACACAAACAAATCAATCGCTGAAGGATAAAAATTATGACTACTAGCAAACAGGTGCTTGTAGATCAATCAAAGCAGCTACATTGCCTACATGAATACATTGTGAGATTAGTAATAACACATAGGTACTTGTACCCTACAACCCTTGCGATATATACCCAATGGGTATTACCGATGACAAATCTTCTACAATTTCAATTAATTTTCAATGAAACCAACCAGTAGCCTAAGTGTTTTCAACATTTTATATTCAAATCGGTCCAGACCTATAATTGTGTTTAATGGAACTTTTAGTAAGCTAAAAAATAATTTCATCAGTTTGGAATTCAGTGCTAGTGAATTCGTTTGCTGATATATTAGAACTTTATGAAGATGTAAATCTATTTGAGCTTTATCGACACATTTTTTACCTTGTTGACAGCTATGTGCAAATTTTTCAGATTTTTAATGCTGCTTGATTGTAGTTGAAAACACAGATATTAAATGTCTAGCAGTATCTAATTTTTTTTATTTTATAATTGATAAGATGCCACCAATACCAAGCATAACTAGTGCTTGTGGTATAATTTTTCGAAGTTTAAAATTAAATTCGAAACTATTATCAGTGCTGAAATTGATAATGTAAATATGTTCAAAACATGAAAAATAGATTGAAATTATAGTACCATTAAGATAATAATCCCATCGTCATCGGCTGATGTGTACTATTGGAAAATAATATGGAATTATGATACCATTTAGACGATAATACGATCTTAAAAGAAGTACAAACTGTGATTTCGACGACTTTGTCGGTGAATATTACGTAGGTGTGTGTATTGTAGATCGTATCACAAAATGGAAGCAAATGAAAAATAGGAAACTCTGATCTCTATATAGATTATGATATGCACACAATGTATATTTGGTATATCAACGATATCATCGAAAAAACGGCCCCCTTTAATGCCATTTAAATACCGCTTTAATACAATCACAAGAAAGCAATAAAACCGGTAAGCCAACAAACAGGAATAATAGTATAAAACTGATACAAGATATAATAAGTTAACGCAAAAAACAAAATTAGGTTGCTTCAAAGATCACGGCGTATTTCATCGAGAGCTGCTTAAATAGTAATCTTATTGAAACAGATCTATTTACCACTAGGTCCAGAAACTTACACATAAAAATCTAAAATCCAAAAGATAGCTTTTTTCAGTCTGAATTTATCATATTGTTGAGATGAAGATCAGGATAACGCAAAAAATACAATGCTGCATTTACAAGAGATGGGACTACCATTGATATCTTGGTGGAACAAACTTTGCAAGCTTATAATCTTAATAAAGAAGTATCAAATCATTTTTACAGAATGGCAGCCCTTCATTATTATACTACTACAGAGTTATGCGATTGAAGTGTTATCAACTACACACAGATATATCTCTCAAAATGACTTTGCCAACTTCTTTAATTTCATACGTAGACAGCTGTTTATATGATTAACAAGTTACCACAAGGATCTGCGTTGCGTCTAAGTTTTATAAAACAAAAATTATTCGAAATGGCATTCAAACGTAATAGTGAGATTGCATTATATTCGGCTGGAAAATCCCAACCAGCTATTATTCGTAAGCTCAAACACCTCAAAGTGAATAAAATGTTTGTGTATCGTACCATAAATCGTTATAATAATACATGCCGCGTTGCCAAACGCTATGGTGGTGGTTGATTGAAAAAAAAAACAGGAATATCACTTAAAATGGTTCGAAAAGTGAAAGCTCGATTTGAACAAAATCCGAAATCCACGTCGGAGTACTAATCAAATGGCCAAAGAACTGAAAATATCCCAGCATCTGATGCATATTCCAAAATGTGCTCAAGAAAAATGCTTGCAAGTTGCAAAAGGCACAAGATCTTACACCAAAGGAACAAAAAGTTGGACTCGAAAGACGCACGTATAATCGAAATAGGCGAAAAGAAATCAAGAAGGACGATCTGGAAAACAACTTGTCAATTAAAAATTATAAAAAAATTAATGGAAACCGTGTGAAATGGAAAATAAGAAATGGAAGCTAAGACTTTTTATTTGCTGTTGAAAATAGTTAAATATTGAGATGTATAGATAATGAACGATTGATAATTTTGCAATATCAGTTGCATATCAATCGCTTAAATTCACTGTATATTACGCTATATACTGAATGTTACACTGTAGATATAAAATTCCTTGCCTTAAACGTGACGTACGCTACATAATCACTATCGGCAAAGATTTTATAGTACATCTTTGCTGTAAATCGCATATGTTGGATGAAAGTGTTGTTATATTTTTCATGATAATAACCATGTTGTGTGCAAAACTTATTAAGTATACTACCCTATTTATTTAATGATTCACTGAAATTTCTTGAAGTTTTTCAATGCCTCTGTTCCCCATTAGGATAAGAGTTGGTTTAAGAGTTGGTGAAAAAAAATATGTCAATTCAACGCTGATATCACATCCAAATTCGGTTTGTAAATAGTAAATTTATGGGTTGGTACTACTTTCGAATTTGTTGTCTAACTAGATAAGATGCTATTTGTAAGGTTAACAGATTTTCTTTTTGTGTACTGTAAGAGAAATAAGTACACAAAGAGAAATAAGTAACTACACGTCAACACTTTAATAGCAATAAATAAAAAAAATTAAAATTATTAAAACAAAGATATATAACTTATTCATATTAAATTGAATTCTAAAAATGGAATTGATACTCAATTACACATTCTCTAGAAGTACTATGTAAGAAACACCACTTTTCATACATGTTAATGGAGAAGTCGGCTAACTGCTTGAACTTAGACGTTCCAGATTGATATATTAACTAGAATAAGACTTATTAGTGTATTTTAATACTATAATATAATTATAATACAGAATGATTGAAATTAAAGTCATATAAAAAAAATCCTCAAGATCATATACTAAAGTAATGGAATCAAGTATCATATCAACTTCATATACTATATATTATCAATTCCTCGACTCCACTCACTCAAGCAGATTTCGTTCAACTTAATTCATACATTGTAGATACATAGTACATATATGTACATAAATATACAATATACATATGTACATTAAAGTAAGTAAATGGTTAAATGGTAGCTGTGTGCATCGAAAATAAAGCAGGAATAGAATTAAACAAGAAATGAACTTAGCGGTTAAAGTAATAGTTAATACATAGCACCAAAAAATGTGAAAAAAAATATGAATAGAAATGAATAATTGATGAAAAAACATTTTCCGAGTTACTAATAAAAACTCATAAAAAAAATACTAAGAATATTTATAGAAAAGTACAAAAGTTTCTCAGTTTCTTTTAAATGAAGTTATTTGAAAATTATGGAATTCACAAAAAAATATAAGTAAAAAGGTATGATAATAAACAGTATGTGCTAATCACATGTAGTATTCTGTATATAGTTTATATTGTACATTAACAAATGCAAACATGGAACTTTAACTTAAAATGCTATGCTCTTTCAATTGTAAAGAACTTCTTAAATTACAAAGTAGTTATTGCGTCAATCTGAATATGTGGGCATGAATTTTGTGGCAGCAAGAGACTAACATTCAAATCATTACTATATAAAGTCTATTAGTACTATATGAAGTTTAATATTCAACTCAGAATTACTACAAAAATCCATAATGCATAATGCACAAACAATGACATGAACTTAACTGATTATGCTGTACAGTACATGTTTCCTTCCCTGGGGCACCAAAATTAAAATTCGTTGCAAAATTACTCTCCTGTTGTTCGAAATCTATATCAAGAATGGAATGAGATTTTATTTATTTGAAGCCGAATAAAAGCAACAAAAGTGAGACTAATTACACTACTTTACAGCCAAAAATTTGTGAAATAGTGAAATTTTACGTAGAATTCGAAAATCTTAGTAATAATGAAAAAAAATTTATGCAAAGATATCGCTTAATAAAAAAAAATTAAAATTTGAAAATAATGCGGCATGTAGGTTATCAGACAAAAAGAACAATCTTTATACTGTTCATCGCATACTTAACAAACAAAAAAAAAACTATGGAAAAACGTCGTAAAAGATTCTTAACAGCATCCCAATAAGACTTTTAAAAATCGAAAGTAATTTTCATTACTTACAATAATTTTAAATACAATAATTTAAAAACCAGGCAAAAAATGGCCCTAAAAATCCCAGAATTAATGAACTCTGCCTGTTAGTATAAAACCTGGTTATGCTTCAACAAACTATATAAATGTGCAGATTGACATCTTTAAAAGTAAAGTTAAAAGCAATATAAAAACTAGACAAAAACCTAAATTGTTATTCAAATTCAACTTAATAATGCATATCGGTCCTTAATAACCAACAGCAAAAATAACCGATGCTATTGATCAAGACTCCAACACCTTAAGAAAATATTGCGGAAAAATTAGTTAAAGTTCGAAAAAAAAACAAATAAATTAAAATAAATAACGTTCAAATTGAGACTAGGAGAGAATATCTAATTTTTGCTTTGTAGTGCTGGGAATAAAAAATGCTCGAAATGCAAAATGCTATCATATTCTTTTTTAATCCTTATTTAATGATGGCTAATGATGTTTTTTTCCCTTAATCCAATCACAGCATATGGTTCGATATGAATTTTGATAAGACTTACTTTATCAGTGAATAAGAAATATTGGCCTATAACCAGTAAAATTTGTTTGTAATCGATTTAGTTTTGTGATCGGTAATTTTTCACAATATTTTAAAATTTGTAGGTGCATTTCTTCTACTAAAATCTTGGTAAAACGATTCAAATAAAGTTAAATTCAAAAACATTAGAACGACTTAAGGTTTTTTTTATGAAAATATGCGATCTACACATAGTGTTTTGCCATTAACGAAAGTGAAGACATATTCAAATTCTAACATTCCAGCATTTAATTGGAATCGTCGTTGGTACACCTTCAAATCGTTGTATGCCTTCGTCTATTTTTTCAATAGTGAAAGTCGAAGTTCAGTGAACTTCTAGATAAAAAAGAGTTTTGCTTCTGTAAACTCTTCTCTAACCGTCACATTATGTTTTTATAATGCTTTTCACCATATAAACTTTTATGAACAATACGTAGAATAGTGATCTATTTCTTCTATTAGATTTTTTGAATTTTTAAATTATTGGTTAGAACAAGATGAATATCAACGCATCATGGCCTGAAATCCACTTAAATGAAAATGTTGCAAGCATTGCAATTAACAATTACCTAAATCCAGTTTTTCAGTCCTCCTAGGTTATTACTTATAAGTATGAATCATTTGAGGGCTTCGGGTAAATATAATCTTCATCTTGATAAATTTTCGGTGATCAACGCATCATGGGCTGAAATCCACTTAGATGAAAATGTTGCAAGCATTGCAATTAACAATTACCTAAATCCAGTTTTTCAGTCCTCCTAGGTTATTACTTATAAGTATGAATCATTTGAGGGCTTCGGGTAAATATAATCTTCATCTTGATAAATTTTCGGTGATCAACGCATCATGGGCTGAAATCCACTTAGATGAAAATGTTGCAAGCATTGCAATTAACAATTACCTAAATCCAGTTTTTCAGTCCTCCTAGGTTATTACTTATAAGTATGAATCTTTTGAGGGCTTCGGGTAAATATAATCTTCATTTTGATAAATTTTCGGTGGTCCTAATTTTTTACAAGTGATGAACTGATAACAATGGGTCTTGTTTCTAGAAATTTAAATTGATGGGGACTAACCATCTAGAATAACTCCAACATATCCTCGATTTATCTGCTTTATCGGAGCAGATACCATTATCATAACTCCAGTTACAATTCAAAACTGATAAGAAGAAATACATATAATGCAAAACTTTGATCAAATCGACTTGATCAAATCGCTTTTAGAAGAATACGACTGTGTTCATAGATTTGATTATACCGACGCCGAAAATAGTACATTGCGGATATGTAGTTCAAATGACGCTACGAAATATAATTTGTCAAATTTAATGAAAGTTTAAAAGAAATATTATGAAAGTCTATTGTTCGACTCAGAAAAAAACTGTGTTTAATCTGAAAATTTGCGAGTTATAAAATTATATTACTTTGAAGAAAAATTTTTAATGCTATGTATTTTCAAAATATTTTCAATTTTAAACATTTTCAAGAAATGTATGTATATTTTTTTTAAAAAGTTAATGCTTTTTTTATTTTGATTAGTTGGACTGAATTATAATGTCGCAGCGTCCATTGGCACCGACGTAACAAATGGCTTAGAACTGGATAAAGATAAAACCGACACTAACTCAAACCCAAAAATCCATACGTTTCGCGTTATTTCTGCAGAGGATGTCACCGTTGATCTAAAAGAAGAAAACATAATTAAAATTCAGAAACCTATATTAATGTGCTTTATATGTAAGCTCTCATTTGGCAACGCAAAATCATTTGGTTTACATGCAAACGCAGAGCATACATTAGATTTACAAGAAACAGAAAAAAGATTATTAAAACGCGAGTATTCAAGTGCCATTATACAAAGAGACACAGATGAAAAACCGCAAATTTCATTTTTGGAACCATTAGATGCACAACTTATGCCAAAACATTTAACTTATACTGAAATGGAGGAGACAGCTGCAACAAAAATTTTGACTAGTACGACTTCAATACCAACTGACACTCCAACTTCAGAAGATATCACAATAAATCCAATTGATATAAAATGCCACACGTCAAACTGCGTTAGTATATCAAGCGAGAGCCAACATATTGATGTTAATATTAGTAGTATAACCAGTAGCAATAGCAACAATCGAGAAAGTGCTTGTTCTCCTAATACTCTGCCCGTACAAATTGATTTATCACAAGAACAGAATAATATATTTTTATCAAAAAACCAAGCCTTATCTCCATCACATTTAGTATTGTCTGCATCACTAGAGTCACCACCATCAACTTTTTTGGGTGCAATACCGATATCTGTATCAAGCGCAGAACCAATTTCTTGTTGCCTCCCTTCAAAAAGTGTAAATAGCGCTTTAGTGTCGTCAAAAGAGAGTTCAAATTCTCCTACTCAGGATGTTAATATCTGTACGACAAAAAATTTTAAGTTGGCAAATACCCTATTTTTAAATTTAAAATCCGTACAAGAAGAAAAAGAAAAGGAATCAAATAAGATTGCTAGTAGTACTGATAGTTTAAGTAGCAATAATAAAGCAAACCAAAATAAATCTTTTGATTTAAACACAACTGTATCAAATTCTCCAGTAGAATTAAAAGCTAGTAAATATCAAAATTATGATTGTCAAGAATCAAAAAGTTATGATGATCAAACGCCAATCAGTTCGTCATCCACATTTGCCGAGTTTATTAACAATCAATCCCATCAACAACGCAAAGAAGACGACAACGCCTTGTTATCTACAAATACTGAAAATGTTAACACGGAGCTTGATTTGTTGCAGCTGCAACACCAATATCAGTTTCCCTTTCAATCGGTGTCAACATCTGCATCAGCAACACGTTCAGTTGAACAGCAGCATAGTCATCTCAGCACGTTTCATGCATCATTAGCTGCTTTGGCAAACGAATCAAATAACAGTAGTGTTAAATTAATTAGTGAGCTTTTGCAGCAACAATTTGCTGCTCAACAACAAAAGCAGCAACAACCGAAAATTGCTTCAGTGTGTCCAGAACATATGGATTTCAAAGGAATCGATTGTAAAACTTGCGAGTTGTTAGAAATACACCATGCGCATATAAAAACATCGGTAACACCACATCGGTCACCTAGCGACCCAAATACCACCACCAATCTACCAATATCGCCCACAACATGTGCAACAGCAGCAGCAAACGTATCAGCTAACCTTGCAAACAACTCTAATAATGCAGCTCCTAGTGCTTCCAGCTTTACGATTGGTGCATGCTCAGAGCATATAAATGGACGTCCCTTAGGTGTAGACTGTGCACGGTATGTATTGTTTTAACAATTAAGAACTATGAAAAAATTAGCTGTAACTTTATAACCTTCATAAATCAATTATTTGTTTTTATTAAGTGAAAGTAGTTTAATGAAAAAAGATTTCATAATAATATAATATAATTCATTTACTAAAAATGAACCCAGTTGTATAATATGGCCGCTATGTGATTGAGTCAATCAATGTTTTGGTATTCTCACCTAATATACCCTGTATTCACAAAAAAATTTACAGCACAAAGTTAAGTTCTCTTAGATTATAGTTAGACAGAAAATTATTGACATACAAATGGACAGGCAGACATCTATCGTGAACATATACTGCATATAGTTTTTTTTTTCAATAATCATCTTCACAAACTTAATAGAAAAAACAGCTTTGAAATCGTGGTAGTTTTGATATTGTTAACACAGATAATTATATTACAAATCATACTATGCAATGAAACATCATTTTTGCTATATAAAATATCATTTTATTTTACGTCTACAATTGCATCCATTTGTCAAACTGAGTTAATCACAATCACAAAATCGTCCTAAACAAAAAGATATTAGAAAGATAGATAAACTGACAGACTGGCAATAGTATACATGTATAGTTAAAATAATGTTCGATACCTTATCTCTTATTATTTTCAAAGGTATCTTTCGATACTTTTTACGCATTCAATATTGGATTTGCTTGTTGGGAATTTTATATGGTAAAAATGCATATAAACTTATAAATTTCTTGTTCTTCATTAAAACTTTTATCATACTGCATATTACTTTGAAGAATTGAGCAGTACGAAAAATTAAGTTTTATGCAAAGTTCTTTTAAGCATACCCGTCAATTATTATTTATTGATTGTATTGTACACACACAAGTTCGTTTATTAGTGTACTAACAATTTTAATAGCCTATGGGGGTTGCACTGATTCCGTATTCAACTTTGTGTATTTAATTGCCCTCGAGCTATTCATTTGTACGCGTATTATTCAGTTTCTTTCGCATGGTTGGCGTGATTTTCTGTATAATCTTGTTTAGTAATAATAATCACAATGATAGTAATGATAACGACAAAGCCGTTGCTGTCGTGTTTGGGATTTTGATATATGATCGATCTCATTTGAGATTCCTACTTTAAAATAGAACAGTTATGCTTTATCACATTAATGACCTCTTCGTTGTTCCTATAACTAGTTTATAGTTAAAAGGATACACCAATCAAATGTAACTAACAACGATTTTTAGTACGACTAATAAAACTTTCTTAATTTAATTATTAATCCAATTCAAAAATGTGAAGAAATAATTGTTTGGTACTTTAAAGTCATCTATTTAGAGAAGAAGAAAATATATCTCGAAATGAAATATTTTATATGTACTCTTTCAAGAAACAAAAAAATTCATAACTGTTCGCTACATAATTGTTCTATTCGTAACTACGAAGTTCATTTGGTTGGATTAAGATACAATAATTTATATATATATATATATATATATATTATACGTATAAGTTTAGTATAATAGTATAATACTTAATTATATCAGTCAAACTACTGCAAAGCAAGACATTTGGACCACTCATACGATATGCGAATCACTTACTTATATATTAAACGGTGTAGTTTTTACTAGTCACGGAACAATAACGACTATTGTTACACTACGCCATTTAAAATCGTATTCGTATTTTAATCAATACTAGATTCACAAAAGAATTTTGATTATAATTTTAGCTTTCAAAAATTTTAAACTGACAACTGAAATCAAAAAGTAAAAATATCGATTCATTCGACGTATCATTAGCCGTAATTTTTTCAATCAGAGTTGTACAAAAATAACATTAAATCTGGTTGAAACAAATTGGCATCACTTCATTTCGTTATATGTTTTTTTATTCTGTTATGAAAAATGAATTAATTTGAAGAAAAAATTAATTAAATTAAACAAAATGAATATTAGAAGAAGTATGTATTATCGTATGTATTTAAATTAATTAATTTATTTTTGTGCATATTTGAATTTATTAATGAATGATATGCTAATATAATTTTAGCAGATAACTTGAATTTTGCAACATATTTCCAGGGAACATTCACAATAGACTGATTTTTAAATTTGGCTGCACTAAAACTTAAGACGTGAAAATTTTTGCGAGTAAAGACTATCTCTGAAGATTTTAAGAGCATTGTTGTTGCTTGATATGTTTTCTTTCGTAAGCTGCGAGTATTGTTTTTGCTACTCTGAAAGAAAAAATTACGGCTATTGTAATTTGATTGTCAGATTTATCATATGTCCACACTTTTTAAGTACTTTCACAAAATATGATATGCATATGATATACATATATGAAAAAAACATTTTTGTTTTATTTTGTATGAATATTTCATTCATTCCTCAAAACTATTAATAATAGCACAAGTTTATAGTGCACAATATTGTACTACGGTGAACTGTCCGAGTTAAAATAAATTCGATTTTGTACAAACTACGATTCAACTCTGTTTTCAGCTGTCAAAATTCCCATACAAATCATCTTGATTTAAACTTGTTTTGCTATCAAAATCAAGAATAATTTGAAATGATAGTTAAAATTACAATCAAAACTCTCGTGTAATGTAAACACTTTTAAATGACTCATTGTAAATTAGACAATTAGGACCAATGTAGACGTAATATTAAACTAGACCGACTTTTTTGCAGCTATTTTTAAATATTAGTTAACGTGAATCCTATACCTATAGCAAATATCCAAAACAAGCATAAAATTAGTTCAAATTTTCCAAAAGCTCTTTGTACTCACATACTGACTTTGTACTGACTGAGAGAAAAACGAGAATTTGATTACTTAGTGTGTCTTGTCATGCTCTGCTTTGCACCAAACAAAGATGCCACATACAGCACCAAAAGCTTGCTTTGTAATAAAGGGGAAAAATTATTGTATTTACTTTTACACAATTACCAATGAGAAGGCATAATTTAGAAATTTCTATTAAGATACATATATATATGGTTTTGATTTTTATTTTCATATGTATGTAAGCATTTTTGGACTGACTTCATTCATTTATTATTTTATGTTTCTAGCAAGCAATTGAAGATACAGACAAAGCCACAGTTGAGTTTATGTATTTACGAGAAGTTCAGACAGTTGTAATTCATATGTATCTTGTGTATATAAAAATATGTTTAAATTATTTAATTTAATTTTAAATTATTATATATACCGTAGTAACTTTGATATTAACAATAATGCATTCTAATTTTTAAAGTATTAATAGAATTAAAAAATTAATTTATAACAAATAATAAATAATTTATAACATTTTTTGTTACTTATAACATAATTTATTTGGAAAAAAAAATAATTTATTAGGAAAGTATTATTCTAAATTTGAGTAATTATTTTATATTCTGTGAACAGTTTCATTAATTTAATATTTGGAATTTAGTCAAAATAATTTATTTAAATATTGACATACAAATAAAATCAGAAACCAATATTTTTTTTTAAAAATTAACAATTTAACGGGTTCTCATACACTTAGGTCGTGTGCGAGTTAGGCTAAGTTGATGCTAAACCAAATGGGAGATTTTTTGGGATTTTTTGCACTGCACACATTTAGCCATTTATCAACACGTATCGACCCATCACTACATTATCGGCTCATCTTAGAATTTCCCTCATTTAGAACGCAACTTAGCCTAACTCGCACACGTCCTTAGTATCATAGACAACGAAGTAATTTTTTAGTTTTATAAATTTTTTACTTTTACTTTAAAGTATTGAATTATAAAATTATTATTAACTAATGCCCCTAAAAAATTAAATTTGTTGAGATTTATATTTTAGAAAAAGAAAGGAATTATAATATTAACAAAAACTCGAATCTTGCTTCTATTTTCATTATGTTGCAGATGCGAACTGATATTGAATTCCGCTCGCTTAAATAGCGGTTCACAAATGTCTACTAGGAACTCATGCAAGACGTTGAAATGTCCTCAATGTAATTGGCACTATAAGTATCAGGAAACACTGGAAATTCATATGAGAGAAAAGCATCCTGACGGAGAAAGTGCATGTGGTTATTGTTTAGCAGGTAAGATCTTTTAGGAACAAATTATTTCATTTTGAGCATTTTTTTGCGAAAAACTTTCTATATGTATCTATTAGAGAAATATCAAAATAGTGTCTATGTACATCTGAAAACATAATTTTAATAAAAACAAATTGTAATTTTTATTTTTTGTGTCACAAAATTGTAGGGCAGCAACATCCTCGTTTAGCGCGTGGTGAGTCGTACTCATGTGGATATAAACCTTATCGCTGTGAGATATGTAATTATTCCACAACTACTAAAGGAAACCTCTCTATTCACATGCAATCTGACAAACATTTGAATAACATGCAAGAACTAAATAATTCTCAAAGTATGGTAGCAGCAGCCGCAGCGGCGGCAGCTGTAGCTGCAGTCGGTAGCAGCAAAATTGAGGGGCCACCTAAAAGTCTAATCATCAGTAACACCTCCCAATCTCACCAGAAAACACAACAACAGCAACAGCAGCAGCAACAACAACAATCTCAGCAATTACAAACGACCGTTAATAATGTAGCTCATACTTTGTCAACAAATAGTACAAGCACATCATCCTCAGTTGGTAATAAGACGAAGCCTGCTTTTCGTTGTGATATTTGTAATTATGAAACATCTGTTGCTCGCAATTTACGAATACATATGACAAGTGAAAAACACACTCATAATATGGCCGTTCTACAGAACAATATAAAGCATATACAAGCTTTGAACTTTCTGCAACAAAGGCATCAACAAGCGACGGCAGTTGTTGCTGCGGCCTCTGCACAGCAGCACCAACAGATTTCTAACAACTTGGCTAATATTCCAGTTACATTCCCATCAAATAATAATTTTCTTCCAGAAGTCGCACTAGCTGATCTCGCTTATAATCAAGCTTTAATGATACAATTACTGCAACATAACTCAGCATCTTCAACACAACAACAACAAATCAAATCTCATATAAAAACTTCAACCCCTTCCCCTACATCCTCATCCGGCCAACAACAAACACAAATGCAGCCACAATGCTCACCAAATGCGAAATCCCCCTCATTGCTTTTTTCCGATACGCAAAGTATTGATTTTTGTTTGTCTTCCACGGCCGCAGCTTCAGGAGAAATAAGCGATGCCATCGAACCGCCCATAAAACCTGATCCATGTCCAAGTACTCTTTACAGCTGTATTGTCTGTGCTAACTTCAATTCAAACAGTTTAGATGAACTTAATCAGCATCTACTTATCGATCGATCGCGTCAGTATGCAATCGGCAGTGGTAGTGCTGTCAGTAATAGCACAGATATTATGTTAATCCTAAACAACAACTATATTTGCCGCTTATGCAATTACAAGACAAATCTCAAAGCTAACTTTCAATTGCACAGTAAGACAGATAAGCACCTGCAAAAATTAAATTTTGTCAATCACATTCGGGAGGGCGGTCCACAAAACGAATACAAATTAAAGTATCACCAACAAATTTCGGCTGTTCAGCTAAAATGCAATTGCTGCGACTTTTACACGAATTCCATTCAAAAGCTATCCCTACATACACAGCATATGCGACATGACACAATGCGAATGATATTTCAGCATTTGTTAGCATTAATACAACAAAACAATGATGCCGAACATAAATCATTAACAACAACTGAAAATAGCAACAATGCTACAGACAACACAAACAATACAAATGTAGGCACTTTTACGGAGCCAGTTTGTCTGCCAGAGAACAGTTTTCAACTAAAAAACAGTAAGAAGGCATTGCTGTGTCAGCTCTGCATCTTTACCTCACAGAATATACTTGATATGGTGCAGCACATAAAGAGTTTACGCCACTTACAGATAGAGCAATTTATATGCCTACAAAGGCGCAGCGAGCAGCTCGAAACACCCAGCATACAAGAAGTTTTCAAAATCTGTGACTACCCAGTGGAAGGTAAGTGTTTAATATAAGAAATTCCGAATGAAATATGTTTAATATTATATTAGAAAGTACTTTATTACTAAATTAATTTTGATATGTATATATATATATATATATATACTTTATAAATCAATTTTTTTACGAATCCAAATATGTTTACTGCATTCTACTTAACTATAAATTTAAACGCATTAAAATTCTTATGCTGTGAATTTAGTACGCTATACAAGATGGTTAATTGTATTATCTTACATTAATTAGTTTACAACATTATTAAAAGAATCATATAATTCAAAACAATATCGCCGGTACTGTATTGTATATTGAGACATTCATTGCTTCATCTGTTATATGACAAGTAGCAATGAATTTGCTACTTATCTTATATATATAAGATAAATTTTTTAGTGTTATAGCTTTTGTTTAAAGCTAACCATCAAACCATTGCGCCATTTCCTATAGCTGATGTTTCTATCTTAATCAGACCTCTCTGTATAATACAGCTTACTCGTCTTATGATAAGGAACATTGTCATTCAATCTGACATTCAATCTGATATTCAATCTGGTTTAAGAAGGCTAACATTAAGGTGCCAACAAAAATATTCGTTGCGTTTCTAGTTCGTACAGTGTATTGCATTATACTGCATCAATGAACACACTACTGCTTTTTATTAAGCAACGATTATTTGAAGATGATATATTTGATTTTTAAATGATTTCTTTTTACAATATAAGCCTCAGAATTGCACCCTTCAAAATTTCTTATGCAAGTGACCTTGTCAGAAAACATAAATGTATTATTTATTTTATTACAAATAGAGTCATACAGCGAACACATAAAGTTTTGATAAAATAAATTTCACATTTCCCGAAAACAGTGCCTCTAAAAATAGAATATAGAATATAGATTATAAAATTATATGCATATGTATGTATTTTTTATTGTCACATAAATTCAAACCATTTATGAAGATTGGAGAAATTTAGTTCCTGTTTTTTAACTGTTATATTGAATGGTACAAAATACGCTTTTAAAAGTGTGTATACTACAAATGACATTCTGTTATGTTATAAATTAATTTCATAATATTTTCCTTGCAAATCCTTTCTCCAATGCTTAATACACAGAACTATAAGCAAAACTTAACGCAAGTAATGCTTTAACACATCATTATATGTAGCATGATATAGATAATAACAGCACTGTAATTCTTTTGGTGCTGTTTGAAAAGGCTCATTGCCTTCTGAAGAGCAAAACAGTGCACTGCATTAAACTGTGCGAATAGTGCGTTTATTGTGCTTCGTTTGCACACATGATTCGCAAGTATGCAGTATGTTTCATGCTGGGTTTTGAATGCATTCATCCCGATCTCTGATACACACCCATTTTATCTGGTATGTTAAAAATATTATCCACTTACTGTGTACACAACTGTGATGCTATCACCCCGCCCTTTCGTCTCCCTTTACTAATGTGCTTAGTTGCATAAAGATTATATAAAGTAGTTTTAAATGAAAATTCAAACCAATAGTTTTGTTATAATAGTAGATCTAAGTTTTTTTTACTTTTTCCCGCACTTCAGAATCATATTTCAATTCATCATATGCGATAAAATATACATATGCATATATTAATTTCAATTGTTTTGATCAAACGTTTCATTGTTGTCTCTTATTTTATGGGAAAACAAATCCTAAGATTTTTAAAAATTTTATCAAGACATCCATACATACATAGTTTCAACTACTAAAAACAATTTCTTGCACTGCCAAAAATATATACATATGTACATATATATATATTTTTGGTAATTCATGATTCGTTCGTTTTCATTTTGCATACTTTAAGGCAGGGCTGTCCAGAGCTCGGCCCGCGACATGATATAAATCTGCTACAATTACACAAATTTTCCCCTGGTGTACTGGTAAAACTACATTATTTTATTTTTATGGTATAATAAATAAATGAATTTAAATTGATAAATTAATAAAACTAAATTCAACATTATAACCGTGTTTTTATTTCTGTCGAAAAGAACTATGAATGAACAACTATGTATTTGTTTCTGCGGCCCACGAATCTGTATAGTGATTTATATTAGCCCGCGATCGCATCTAGTCTGGACAGCCCTGCTTTAAGGGATAGTCTAAACTGTGTTAATTAATATAACGAGTATTACACATATACATACATATGTATATTTTTTTAAATATTTTTTCTAGAAAAAATATATCAAAAATTAAAAACAATTTATGTATATACTGAAATAATTTAATATCTGGTATTTAATGATAAATTTTGAATAGTTAACTAAAATGGTTTGAATTTTTTATTATCTAACTTGTCTAGGAGTTATTAGGTATGGTTAAAGTGGGTAATTAAAAATTATATGTAAATCCATCCAATCAGTAACATTTCTTTTTGAAAAAGCAGTTAGTCTTTTACCAAAAAAAATATATATTATAACTAAAAAAAGATTTCACCCAATACCTTGTTTTCAAATATATATATAGGCTACAAATTAACGAAAAAGATATATATGGTACATATATTACTAACATCTCTTGTAGAAAGTTTAAGAAAGAAGCATTCGTTTCATCGTTAGAGGATAAACCGAATTAAAAACTGCTATTAAATAGAACTCATAAAGTAAGGCCTAAGTCAAAAACAAGAATTGGCGGTGCATTGCAACGATGTGACGCTAATAAGTAACGCAAAACGCAGAGATACTAACTGAAATTAAAATTAAAAAGGAAGCGTAGAGTGAATATTTTATTGAAGGTTATGAATGAAAAAACATACCAGAAGAGCAATCACCCCAAAATTTAAAAGGCAAAAATTAAAATCTTATGCATGAATATCTGTTCTTTTGTGTTGAATTATAATGCACTTTTGTTATTGTTATTCTTGCCATTTCTCAATTTTATTTTTCTTCTTCTTTTTGTTAATTTTGCTCATCTCTTTTAATATCAATTCAGAACTCCATATTAACTTTAAGGTCAGAGCCAGATGCTGCTGAACTGATTTATGTATTTCATCGTTTTATCTCAAAATAAAGCATTATTGTCGTGTTTTCTACCGCCGAGAAATTCTACCTTTAACTACTTGGCATTGTTTTCAGTTGCACATTTGTTATATTATTAAAAGTGATATTTATACTTCTCCATTCTCTCCTACACCATACCGAATAAGAACGTACTTTTTCAGACACATTTATTCGTTTACGACAGTAGAGAATACAAAGGCGACCAGTAAACATCATCAAACCTCTCCCACAAGCTACGCTATCATTAATACAAATTTCTTGCGGATTAGCCAATATAAAAACAGACAAAGGCAAAAATGCACGTAAGAAATACCGAAAACAATGGTGCGGTGTTGGCTATTCCTTTGATATTTATAAGGGTATGCGAGCCATGTAGTAAGTACAATTTAAGAAGACCCTGTGCTCCTATTTAACAATTAATTTTATCCACTTAATTATTGAGCTATATTTAGAAACTTAACTTAATTTAATTGCTTTGATTTAGCTGATCTAACAGCTGAAATAATAGCGTTTTGCGATTTTTCCATTTGAGTTCATAAGGGAAGAAATAAACTAAAGTGATTTTCTCGTATTTTGTCACTTATGAATACTTTACTATAGTTTCACTAAGGACTTCTCTAATAGAAAATTTTTAATATATGCATATATATACATATGTTATATGTATGTATATATTTTACTGTTTAACTTGGACATTTGAAAATTTGGAAGTTAAGACTCTAAACTGAAAACACAAAATTATGATAGATGTATCACCACGGAAGATAGTATGTTAAACTGGTGTTTATACTTGAAAAGTCATTGTACTATTAGAATTGATTTAATAATATGTAACGGGCAGAACACAAAAATTTTTGTATTTTGTGTTTTTGTGCTGTTGTGTTGTTGTGTTTTTGTGTTTTTGCTCACCCAAAGCAACAGAATAACAAACTCCAACATAACGTTTCGTTTTGTAAAAGGAATTTCTGCAAATCAATATGCTACAACAAATTTCAACAAACAGACAACGTAGTCTTCGTCGTCGTTGTTGTCGTCGTCGTCGTCATCGTCGTCGTCGCCGTCACGGTCGTCATAAAAACGGTCGATCGCCTGATTGTCTGATTGTGGTTACATTTGGTCGGTGGCGGATGCGGGAAGATTGGTAAGCTTTTGCAACTATATTTGCGTAGTTTATATTGGCGTAGAGTATGTAAAATGTGTTGAACGGAATTTTAGTTCACCAATTCGTCTGGCTTGGCAGTCTAGTTTTATAATAAAAAAATGAGGAATGAAAACAAAAACAGAGATGAAATGCAATAAAATGAAATAAATAAGAAAAATAAGAACAAAACCGATAACCATGATAAAAAATAAAGTTCAATCGCTTTGTGCACTTCATGATGATTATTTAGAATATAGAGACCAAGAAGTGGTTTCAGATTAGTTTATGTTGGTATAAATTTCCATATTCTGAAACGTTTTTTGGATAGTTGTGGAATTATAGAACTTACATACATATGTAGATAGATATAATCACTCGACGATTGAACAAAACTTGGTAATTTGTATAACATATTATTCGAAATAATGTTAACTTCTTTTACAGATTATTAATTTTCACTATAACAAATTATCTGTTTAACTAACTGAAGTATAATTTTATATTAAAATTATAAAGCTTTGAAAACCTATTTTTGGCTATCAGATTTAAAGTAGCCTTTATTAAAGAGCTGCAATTATGCTAATTATCTAAGTGTAAAACTAAAAGGGTTATAAGGGAATCAGGTATAAGTTCACATTAAATAACTAATACAAGTTCAATTGTGTATTATTTTTTTAAAGTTGAAGAAATACATAAAGTTGATTCGAATTTAAAGTCGATTTTGTTAGTAGCTCTCAATTGTCTTATTCTACTATTTAAATGAATGGGTATATTCTATAGATCTTGCCAATACTAAAATTTCTGGCCAATAACTCTAACAGA